CTTACGTTTTTCTCTGCCTTACCTTAACCCCTGGTCCACAATCTTGCTTTAAGTAAGCTGTAAACTTTAAGCCGCAAGAAATTAACCAATCACAGGTGAGAGTGAGGGTAATAAATGCCCGTGATTGGTTCGTTTCTTACGGCTTGAGGCTTACAGCTTACTTAAAGCAAGATTGTGGACCAGGGGTAAGTCTACGGCTTACGTAAGTCCGTAAGCGCTTACGGATAGTTGTCTGCCATCAGCCGAACTCTATTTTCGACTGCCAGAGGCACTGGCCCTGAACATAGCGCTCTTCCCTCGTTTTCTTTTGTCCGCTCGGGCTCCTGCGGTTGCGAGGTTGGCGGTTGCTAGGGACGGTTGTTGATTGCGCTCTCCTTCTTGGATCTTTCGGTGCAAGTAGCTGTTTTTGACTCAGATAAAGAAAGTTATATTCTCAAAACTCACAAGGAAGACGAGGTGATCCGGTGTGGTTTCGGATGTTATACCATCTCTTGTCCGCAACGTTTGGGAGTCTCAAAATCATCAACGCCACGGAAAGCCATTCGTTTCAAGAAGCACGCATGAGACTGGATTTCATACAATCACCATATTGCCGAAGAGAAAAGCTAAGTGCAAGGATCGGTTCGGGTGTAGCTACGTCTCTTTCTTTAGTGTCTTCGGATCAGGGCTAATTCTCATCCTCTTGCGCATTGGATGAAGTCCATCGCTAGAGGATAGATCCGAAAGACTTCTCAGAGCTCACCCTGACGGACTCAATCTCAGAGCCGATTCTCTCTCTCTCTCTTTCTATCTCTTGTGTAGCGTCTCTACCAAAAATACCTCAGAGTCATCTCATATCACTCTCATAGTGCATTAATTACAAGTTCAAAAGACGCTCTGCTCTCTCATTGACTTTATAATATCGTAATAATCTTATAATTTGAATTCGTTCTTAGACAATTAAGTTTTCCTTTTCCGTTTCCATTTTTGTGAATGAGTACTCGATTATAATCATATAACAATTACATTCAATGTTATTTTCCAATATATTCAATTGATTATTGTTAAATTAAATATTAAGATTGGTTCGCCAAGCGTTTATCTCATTTTTCACATTAGAATTAATTAGAATTAAGGTTACGCGTTATCTACTATCTCTTAAATTATATTTTTAATCGCATTAAAGTTTGCTTAATTTTGTACGCACATCATTAATTTTTTATCTCCGTCCTCTCGTCGCTCAATCTCGTGACGGACGGAAGTCCTGAACAACATTCATTAAACAAGAGACGAAAAGCCACGTTTTCTCCACGTTCCATCACCTGAGACAGTTATACCATTTTCTTCGTTATTTTCGATGGACTTAGCCTTCTCCTCTTGTGCTGCTTGCTCCATACTTTGTTGACAAACAGCTTCTATTGCGATGGAAATCACGCGGACAAGTTTATCATAAAACGAGTGAAAAATCGGGCGTGGAAGATCCATGAAGGCGCAAAACTTTTCTATTCCATTTACACCGATTCCTAATAACGCAAAATGACTTGCGACAAAATAAGAGTGTTAATCTGATTGTTTTGCAGGTTATTAGCCCCGAGCTTGTTTGTGTCACTGGCAACAAGCAGGCTCAAGGCTTTTGATCGGACAAGAGAACATTCTCGAAGCCCCGTCTCCAACAAAAACAGAATACGTGATAGACACATCTAAAGTCATGTATAGGAGTTATAGAAAATATAAAAGGGGAGGAATATAAATATTAGGTTACCATTTTTCATCAAAAAACATCGACAACACAATAAACCTCATAAATCATGGGACTTTTAGACCACCCTGTATATATTTTAAACTTCTACAGATTACATTAGGCCTTGCATCTACGCATAAACGCCTTTATCGATGCTTTACAATTTAAATGCAGATTTAATATATGTTTTTATTTTTATTGCAAGAAAGTAACTGTAAAGTAACTATTCATTACTTTTTTAATAACTGTATCTGTAACGCGTTACTTTTCAGAATTGGTAACTTGTAACTGTAACCAGTTACAGTTTTAGCAAAAAAAACTGTAACTGTAACTAGATACTTTTATAAAGTAGGTATTTTATAAAGTAGGTATAAGAAATATTACGGCTTACTAAATTCACACACGCAAGGTGATTCGTCTCTCACATACATGCTTAATCATAATTTTATTTATGTACGCCCTACACGATACGGAAAAAGATAATAAGAATTCTTCGACACTTATACAGCAACACCCCTTTACTAAACCCTTTCATCGTAATATGGTAGCGAATACGCGGAGCATTCATTATGTAACGGCTCGCGAAAGGGTTTTTCTTTTCCGTATCATCAACTTGCAATACATTAGCATACATCGCGCATTACAGTCATGCGAAAAAAGTTGTTGCTAAAGGACGTGATCTACGCCGTGAAATTAAGTGTGACTCCAATTTGCTGTTGGCCGTTAGGGCGAGATGCGACAAAATTTCAGATATTCTGTATGAAACTGTATCACTATTTCTGTATCGTCATGCTTGCGTGTCTAGCGGCACCAATGACATATGCTATCATATATAGTCTTAACGATCCTCTTAACATAGTACAAATGACTACTGTAACAGGCGGCCTTTACCATACCACGGCTAATTTCATTTTTTATAAAATTAATTACCATCACATACAGGTAATCAATTATCCGTTAAATTCTATAAGCACACGGTGGTATTGTTCAATATTTCCTGTAATGTAACACGAGCGACGTCGCAATGCGAAAGGAATTTAGAGAAGTCACACTGCATTCCATGTATACCCTGATGGAAAAATTTTGCTGAAAATGTAATGAAATTGATGAAAAGTGAAATGAAAGTTATTGGAAACTTGTTGAAAGCATTTCAAAATAAATCATAAGTTTCGTTATGAAATTCAATGAAATACTGTGAAATTAGATTAAAGTTAATTAATATTACTAAAAATTAGTGAAAAAAATTTTGAAATGTTGTATATTATGAAATTTGCAGAATTTCACTGAAAATAAATTTTTTAATGAAAAATTGCTGAAATGATAATGAAATTGGGTCAATTGCAAGAGATTTTCAACCAAATTTCAGCAAATTTCATTACGTTTTCAGCAACATTTTTCCATCAGGGTATCTTACACTGTATTCTATCATGGAACGTCGCCTGCAGTTTCGTAAACTTGCAAAATACTTTGTACCACGTTTCCCACTTGTGTTGCTATCTATTATTATCTATTTAAGCAATAAACCAATACTTTGTACAACCTCGCAAAATTCATTGCACCATCGCGAACAGATACATTAAACGCAAAGTAGTATAAGAGTGGTAACACTTTTTGACTGATTTTTATATTAACTAAATTTAATAAACATTTAAAATACCATCATGCGTTTATGGGAAATATTGAAAAATTCATACGCAAATTGCTTACACATTCACGTTTCTTATCTCTATATCTTCTATATCAATAACAATTATTTCAATATTAACAGCAATTATTTACAGAATGTTACTCTCGAAATGATAAATTTCACTAACTTAATGAAACCACGCGAAGAAATCGTGTTTAAGCGGTATATTGACAAATGTTTCGTGTTGTATGAAGCATCTCTGATTAGTTTTCACTTGGTGACATTAACAGCTATAGTATTACCTGCTGTGACGGAACAACCATTTCCACCATCAGCCAAATATCCATTCGATGTGTCTTATCAACCGCTAAAAGCAATAATCTATGTAAAACAATCTGCAGTCGGATTCATGGTAACAGGACAACTATGTATAAATGTTTATATGGCTTTATTGCTCTGGTTCACAGCGGCAAGATTTGATATTCTAATTGAAGAACTAAAGACAGTTACAAATGTCTATGAGTTGTGTAAATGTATTAAAAAACACCAAGAATTACTCAAGTACGTAAAATAATTTCTATCTATCTAATATAGGAATAATCTAGTTTAGGAGATCTCAATCTCTCTATGACTAACAAGTCGGATTTGTTCCTCGTAAAGTTTTATCTGACTCGCCATGAAAATGGTAAATATGTATATCGATGAAGGGAGCCAGCCCCGATGACCTTGACCTTGACATATGTTGTCAAGGTCGCCCTCCAGAGTGACCTTGAAGAGGTTTTAGCCGTCGCTCGTAGCTCGTTAAAAAGATATTAAAAAACAATGTCGACCAATTATATGTAATTTTCAGACACAAATATTAAAAATTTTGAAAAATGTTTTAAACAAAAGTTGTTGATCACTTTAAAATATACATTTTATGTTCTATTAATTTTTACTGTACAAGTAATAGTTTTCGAGAAAAATGATGGACTCTAAATTTTATATCTTTCCTCCTATCTAAGCATGTACCTTACAGTACATATACGATTTCACATGGGTTTGCAACTTTCCACGTGAAGTTGCTCGTGTCTTTGG